CGATTATCTTTTAACTGAAGGACAGCAGAAGCATAATCAAAAGCGGAAGTATGATGTTCTAGAATTAAGGCCTCATTTTGCGGTTGATTCTAAATACATCCAACCGAAGGTAGACAGTAATTTATTCTCACGTATGTCCATATTTATTCATTTATAGTACTCATTCGTAGCAGGATTTTAGTTGTAAATCTGGTAAAGCTTTCATCCCAACAGTTCACAAGCTACATAGCAGAGCCTAGTCCGGTAAAGTGCCAGACGCGTTTCGCCCTATTGGGGCTCGTCAGTGGCGCGCATTTCCTCGGTCCTCTAAGGAGGATCGAACCCATGACCGCTAGCGGCAGATGCCAACTAGCCAGCAGCTTAAGCTACTGAGCCATGCGAGACGTTGGCTGGACTACATAATTTGCAAACTAGCTGGGATATAGCACCACCTATCTACCATTGTCACTGACAGTGGTTAGCCTGCAAGGTGATGACGTCCTCTCAGTAGGCGCTATATCCATAACATTTGAAACTAAGAGAGGCATTTGATTTTATAGTACACATTAGTAGCAGGATTTTAGTTGTAAATCTGATAAGGCTGGTCCCGAGCATAAATAGCACACCCGCCTACTTTACCAACATGTCGGCTATCCTTGAATGATGAATAGCCCACTATTTGCTAGAACTCCTCTGGAGTGTGGGAGATCATGCCAAGTTTCAGTGATGAGTAGTATATCAGGATTTGAACGAGCAGTCAGATGACGCAAAGTATCTAATTATTCAGCGAACGAGCATTAACGAGAAACACCTTGACAGTGCCTTGCTCGTTCAGCGAATTTAGAACTTCATTTTATATCACTGGTAATGGCATTCCTGCTACATGCATCGTTAGCCATGGTGGCGTTATTGGTGGTGGAAAATTCGGGCTACTGTGGTCGCAGTAAGACTGGTGTAATTGTGTTAGATTCAGAACCTGGTTGAAGACGGGATGCTTCGCTGGACTGGCAGGATCTGGCACTATGAGTGGTGGTGGTTGCTTCCAGTCGTACTCAAAAATATGCTGTGGTTGGGTCAACTCATCATCACTGCACGTAAGCCGAGGGTGAGAGACACTACACCTTATGTGCCACAATACGAAAAGTAAGCCATTAGGCAATGTCAACTTAAAAGCTAAAAAAGTGACATAATGCTGCTATCACCTTTTTGATGGTTGTTAGACGGAGAAGCTAAAAAGAAACGGGAGGACAAAGAGACGCAACACAAACGCTACTGAGCTTGACTCTTCGCCATGTCAGCTAGTGTGTCCAACTAAACGTGCTCATCATCTTTCGGTCCCCAACCAACAGTCGGGAAACACCAACTGACGCCAACTTCGAATTGAGAGGCTTCATCCCTCTCAAACAAGTCATTGCTTAGTCTTCCCTCGTCTTCGTCCATCCACACCCCAGTGATCAAACAAAGCACCTCGCGGGAGTCAGTTGGCTGGCTGGCGCAACACGTGGCCTAGCTATCGGAGCCTGGTGCGTGATATCATGGTGCTGAGCGGTTTAATCGCTCTTCCTGCGCCTACTATGCAACGCAACTGTTGGTAACCGACAAAACTACTGTGTTTTCCGTCAAACATGAAGGATTCACTACATTGTTATTGGTTATGTGATGGGTACTTTACTAAATGGAAGGAGCCGTTTCAGGGTCTAACATTGGAGTACTGCGGTTTAATGCCAAAGGGATCGGATAAGCAGGACGGCGGAGTGCTCCGCAGACGACTGTTGGAGTCTTATACCAGAGGACAGGCGTCCATTTGAGGTTCTTTTCTCTCTACGTGTTCGCAAAGTCTCGTCTACTTATCCAGCATTTTTCGTGACCACTGTTTGGACTCCCCGAGTCGCAATTCAGTAGGTTGCTTGTTCCAGATATTCGAGTACATTGTCATGTAAAGTTTACTGCGTATGTTTCTTTAAGTTCTACTTGTAAAATACAAATTCCTCTTATTCCGTATATCATACCTTCCATTCAGAATAAATTGTGTAAAAGCATCAAGTGTACGCCGATACTGCGTACCGGCGCTTCGCCGGCGCGCAACCACCAGCAGTCGCGCGTGGGATAAGGATATTACGAAGGTCACCCGGTCCCCTACGCAGGCTCGAACCTGCGATCGGATTACAAGGCTTGCTTTTGATCTTTTAGGCCACTGACCGGCTGAATGAAGTGTGTACTACTGCGGATCAAATATGCGTTTGTGCACTATGTCGAGCAGAAACTTCAGACGCAGTTTCAGTCTCCGTTGTCACAAAGGCTCTAATTTATGCATTATACAGCGATGCGAATAGTTTGGCGTTAGAGATTCACTAAAAAGAGCTTTTGATGAATCGACGCTGCACGTTTTACGGGTGTAAACCATCACATTTCCCACAACTAGTCCATATCATCAGACTATATTCCAACACAGCGCTCACACAGATCTGGAACATATCAGCCTTTGAGTCACGCAATACGAGGGCTTTTTGAAGATAAACCTCGTTGTTTAGCGGGCTTTGGCTGATATGAATTCGAGCTGCTCTCCGAAACCGAGGGTCATTGAATATTAAATACCAAAGTCTTTTATTATGTTGCGGAATGGAATTGGCTTTCCACAGAGGTATAAGATGTCCATATCAGTTTTGCATCCATGCGCTAATATTCCGAATTTATCATCAGCAAACGACATTTGCTATTTGACACACTATGTTTCGCGAGCCAATAAGTCTCCTTATCGTTTTCAGTGTTTTTCAGCTTTCCTTTGCTTTGAAGTGTGCAGTACCCTAAAATCATCAGCAAAATGCTAGTGTCCATTTTAATAGTATCTGTTATGTTCGTGATGTACATCAAGAAGAGCAGTGGACTAAGGACTCTCCCTTGTATCACACCACTAGTAACCGACAGCGATGATGATCTGTGGGTACGTATTTGAACTTGTTGAGCATGATCAGTAAGCATTGATCTAATCCATGCATGCTAATGATCTGTGATGCCAACTAGTGACATTTTCCCTAGCAGGTGGCCATGCGACACTCTATCGAATGCTTCTTGCATGTCGATGAAAGAGATGGTAGCTGGATGGCTATTATCCACAGAGCTCGCTAAACGATTCTGGAATTCCAACTGTTGTTTGAGATTATTATTTTTATAGAAAGGTATGCTGAGTCCTGTTAATCATGTTATGTGAGGGTAGGTGGTTTACTTTTTTCTCAATGACTATTCGTTCCATTACTCTCTCAACAATAGGTGCGTGACTAATCGGGTGGTCGTTTCTGATCTCTACCTTTGGCCCATTTATGTGTCTAGGCTTGACTACTGCAACTTCCCAGTGGACTGGAAATATTCCCGACTCCGTGTGAACATGTTTAGTAGTATGAATGGTATTAAAATACCGTCCGGACCATTGTAAGAGAATATTCGTAGTCGGTCTATGTGGTGCTGTATATCTATACAGTCGAATTTCACTGTGCTGCTTTGCAGTGTTATTTTGTGTATTCGACGAGGGTACGTCATATAGAACGGTGAACGATAAACCAAATTGATTATTTTGTGTATTTGCTATCGTGCATTGATCAGGGATTTTGTGGCAAAATAATGGCGAAAAGTGTATCGAGTTGCATTTTATTCCGTGTTCACATCATTTTGACTAAACCTCTGGATTTTTTCTTTTTTCATGGTAAACTTCGTGTACCCAGATGTGCGCATTTTCAGCATTTTACTCTATCAACTGCGGATCAAGTAAAATGGCATCTTGGCAAATGCAGAATTTTATAAATGGATACAGGAAAGGTAAAAGGCCGCAATGGTGTCACTCGAATATAAGGGTCCGCGTTCTTGAGCACTGCGGGATTATTGATAAACAGTATAGTTTTGTGAGGTCAGTTCTCAATGGTTTTCAAATCGCCAAATTTTACTGATCAAAACCAACAGAATGCCAACAGTTCGTGGCATCTGGGATTCGCATTCAAAATATCGGTCTTGTTGACCTTGGAAGTACTTTGGACAAAGAAGCCGTCTAATTATTCCTATAAACTTTATTATATCCGCAGTAGATAAAGTAAAATTGATGTTCATTAAAATCATAGCGGCTGATTTAGTGGCCCCGCCAGAGTTCGTTTCTCTTCAGCTGGTAATCTCTGTGCGCATTTTAAATCAAGTTCAACAAGGAGCTTGTCCAGCTTTATTAACGAGGAGCAATCATGTATCCGTTTGTCTTAGTACGTAATTAATTTAATTGCTTTAATAAGCCATCTACACGCAACGTTCTTAATGATACATTTCTACTCAATTGCTGTTTGATCGGCGCAAGGGTGTCTAGGATTTGTTGGAAGTTTGCATTCATTACATCAGCTGCAGTCTACGGTTCTTCTGTAAGAAAATATATCCTTGTTCCTAGAAGAGACGGAAATAAAGCGAAAAAAGAGGAAAAGAAGGAAAAACTGGCGAAAAGTTCGCAAATTCTCTGTGTGGTACTGTCACTCGCTGTGGATCTAGTTTCGAGATCATTACTGGGGCGATTTTAGCTGTGAAGTTACCAGCTCTTTCCATATGTTCAGTGCATTTAGTTTGGCTCGGATCCAGAATGTATGTTTGCTGTGTTAGCTGCCTTACGTGTGATTCCATAGCACTAATTTGGGTCTTCAGATCTCAGTTTTGTTTCCATTGAGGACATTTTATTGGGTATCTCGGTTGCTGGGTCCACCGGTTTGCACTCACTTGTACCCACACCCTAACCACCCAAACCGAAGCATCCCATTGTGTACCCCATATAATAAAGCACTGGCGTAATCGCCTGCTGCCTCAGATATCGCTCATGAGGGTGAAGCTATAGCCTTAGTTTGGTCAATTTCTAGATCCTTTATCGTATTCTGATTACTGTTTAACCATTCACGCTGGCTTATGTATCCACAGTTAATTCACACTTCTTCATTTATATCATATGCTCATTTTTTCACGCATCTGCTGACCCCAGACCTCCCCTTCTTATTCATGCCAAATAGAGGTAACTGCTGATGAAACACCGGCTTATGAAATGGTCCTCAAATCGGACACTCGGCGGTTGGAGCTACTGGCCGAATGCGAGAGACTGAAGGCCCAAGTGGAAGAAGATCACGGACATGAAACGCTAAATCGACTGACGGAGGTGAGCCACTGCGTCTGGTCCATTGCGTCCACATTACACGTCACCAAACGGCGTTATGCAAGTGAAAACTACCCTTTAATTACATTAGTCTTTTCAGGCGAGCAACACTCAATATCCATCTACCATCCTTTAGGTTTACGAAGAACTTACTGCGATGAAGGCCGATGCTGCTGAAGGTAAAGCGAGACGCATTTTGGCCGGTCTGGGTTTTACTGCACGCATGATGGAACGGCGCACCAAAGACCTTTCCGGGGGTTGGAGAATGCGTGTCAGTCTGGCTAGGGCACTATTTCTTGAGCCGACTTTTCTGTTACTTGACGAACCAACAAATCACTTGGATCTTAACGCTGTTATTTGGCTCGACAAGTGAGTATGTGGCTCGCCATATGCTGTCTCGATCGACTGTTTATTCGCTTGTTGTATCTCATCATGGTTCTGCTTTGAGTACACTTTGTTTCACATTTTGACCCGGAGAGTATTACAATTAATTGTAACAATTTTGGCTTACGATTGCTAATGTTTAGTTGAAATTCGTTTTCACAGCTTTTCTATAACATTATACGACGCGCATTATTCAAATACTTCATTTTTGGAGCTTTTTGGCAACGCCGTTATGAGCCTCTTACGAGTCGGTATTCCTCATCCCATAACTACGCTGGATCACCGGTTATTAGACGACCGACTTGATTGATGCCCTTTGTCACTCACTATTTCTTTTGAATTCTGTTGATCGCCACATCGTTACCTTCAAGTTGGGCAACAGCTTCACACTAATCGACTTAATTTACAGTCCCATTGATCAAATCGACAACATCGAGATTGCGCGTCGCAATCCATTGCTTGCAACTATTATTTTCAACAAAGGCAACAATGTGTCACCAACTATTATTGCAAGCGTTCTCCACGGAACTCGATGTTTTTGTGATGATAATGTCGTTTGTATGCATTCTCCATCTTCCGGGTTAGGGTCACGATTAGCAGACAACACCTGGCCCTTGTCAAATGCAAACGGTAGTATTCATCGGACACTAAGTACGTTTTCGAACGCACTATTCCATCTCTAAATAATACGTTTACTGCTGTTTCAGCTTTTTCCAAGGTACAGCCGTACTTAGCAAATGACACTCAGACTTGCATGCTGATTACTCGATTACCACTTTATTTTAACTAAATAAATGAATCTTTCATCACTTGAAATGGCGGAGAGCATTCCCGCGTATAGACGGATCATCAGGAACCTACTGTTTTGACATGTACACAAACACTGACAAATCTATTGTTCTATAGGTGATACAACAAATACATCATCCACAAAAACTTGTTCACTTTGCGCTCGCATGTAAACAAGTGGTTTTTTTAAAGCACCTCAGCAGAGCCACTCTGGGTGCTTTTAGGTTGTTATGTAGGCTACACAACGAAGTACCTACATGACAGGGTTATGATGATATCATCATCATCATCATCAGTACACTTTAGCTGATGGTGAGAAACACATCTCAACAAATGTGCCGCAATACAAAAAATAAGCGACTAAAACGTTACACTACAAAAAATATGATGTTAAATATTATATTATGCGTGGCATGAGATCGCGATTGGGTGGGAAACTTAAAGGGGGGTGGACAAAGAAACAACACAAACGCCATTGGGACCGGCTCTTCGCCGCATCAGCAAGTGTGTCCAACCCAACGTGTTCATCGTCCTTAGGACCCCAGCCAGGCAGTCGGGATGCACCAACCGACGCCGATTTCGAAGTGGGGTTTTTTATTTCTCTCGACCAAGTCATCGCTTGGCCTCCTCTCTTCCTCTTCTAACCGCACGGCCGGCGCGCAAACAATACACGTCGCGGGAATCAGTGTGCTGGCATGCGCAACACGTGGCCCAGCCATCAGAGCCTGGTGCGTGGTATAATGGTGCTGAGCGGTTCACTCGCTCTTCCTGCACCAAATACGCGACGCCGAACACGCTAATTGCTCACGCGATGCTCCCACCAGACATGCACTAAGTTGCGAAGGCAGCGATGATCGAACGTGACCAGACTTTATGTTTGTCGACCTGATGGGCCAGGTTTCACAACCGTACAGGAGGGTTGAACGGACGGCTGCATTATGCACTCTACCCTTCAGGGAGAGAGTGATGTCGCGTCTGCATCACAGGTAGCGGATATTGGCAAAAGCACCTCGAGCTTTTGTTATACGGTTCGTAACATCATCTTTAATCCCACGAGCGTCAATATAGCTGCCCAGGTACTTGAATTCCTGAGCGACTTCTTACTGATCACCACAAAGCATTAGCGCTGGGGTGGGTCCCAGTCTAGCTTGGAGAAGTGGTTTACATTTCGATGGAGCAAAATATAGCCCAAAACGATTGACAGCCACTGCTAATCGGTCCAGTTCTGCTTGGCAACTTTGGGCACTATCACAGATTACGACAATATCGTCCGCATACTCCAAGTCAAAGAAGTCGCTCACCAGGATGTAGCTCCACACCTTTCAGGTCATGTCCAGCGAATGCTATTTCCATGACTTCGTCAACTGCGAAGTTAACTCGGAAAGTGACGGCTGTAACCTTGTCTCACACCGCTGGCGATATTGAAGGACGATGACAGTTTTCCACAAACCCTTACTCTACCCTAACTATGCGCGTACAACGCTTTGAGAGTGTTTACGTATTTAGCAAGCATACCTTTTCTCAACAGACAGTCCCAAATGACTCATCGATCGGCTGAATCGAAGGCACCCTTCATGTCAAGAAACACGACAACAATGGGTCGCCAAGAAACATATCGGTGTTCCAACAATTGACTCAGGGTGAAGATGTAGTCGATGCAGCCGCGACCTGCGCGAAACCCGGCTTGCTCTTCACGAATCTCGCTTTCACGAGTGCCAATCAAGCTGTGGAGAATGACAGACGCAAGCAATTTAGAGTTAATTGAGACCAGACTGACCCCTCTATGGTTTCCGCGTTCCGAACGGCAGCCTCCGTTGAAAATTGGGACAATGACAGAGCGATCCCAATCTATTGGGACAGTCTCCTGCTCCTACATTTTTACTAGCAACCCGTGTTAATCATCTGCTTGAGCAGTTCTCCCGAATTTGAAGAAGGCTGGGGGAATTCTGTCTGTCCCTGCGGCCTTATTTCCAATAGCGTGATCTCACGTTTGACTTCTGCGCTTGAGGGCGGATCCAAGGAGTCGGCTTAGGGAGAAGGGCACTGAATGCCCAAAAAAGAATGCGATAACTCTGGTTGGTTAAATTGCCTTGCAAACGGTCCGGCTTAATTTTCCACACGTTTTGACAGGTTGTGTATCGGGTGCCCCCTCTCGTTGCGTACTGCCTGGCTATCACCAGTTCTCCTGCTACCTGTTTCCTGTGTCAGACGGAATAACCTACGATGATTACCAACGGTAGGGGCTGTTTCCATCTCCGAGGCACGATGAAACCACCAGACTTCGCGGTCTCTCTTCAGGCTAGCATTTTTGCCCTGAGATTTTTGCGAGTCTCATAGTCTTCGCTTCCAGCTGTAATACGTCGGCGAGCATCCATTAGTTCCAGAGACTGTGTACTGACCCAATGTGCAGTTTCACAATTTGATTTGGCACATAAGGACATGCCTGCTGAGAGTGACATTTGACGAATATGCGACCAGTGATCTTCGACGGTATTCAGTGGGCGCTTACTGAGCCCGGATGTGAACACACTTTGGTACACACTCAGAACACCTGGCTTCGCCAGCTGGCTGGTGTCAATGCGTTCAGAGCGACCTTACTGACGTCTACAGAAATGCACCCGAAGGTCGGCGCAAACAACTTCTTGGTCAAAGTCCACGCTCGTGCTTCAGATAGAGCAACATTTTTGGAAACAGCTTCTCCAGCGGTAATTGATCGCGATATGATCGATTTGCGTCCATGGCTGGTGGTCGCCAAGTCACTCTTCTGCGGGTGCTATGTCGAAAGTTTGTGCTTGCAAGTAAGAGACAAGCACCTTCACACAGCTATAGCAATCGCTCACCGTTATTATTACGGGAGCCTACACAATGTTGGCCGCCCAGCTGAAGCTCATCAGAGGACAGTTTTCCGACTGGGACGTTTAGATCGCCAGCCAACACCACAGTATCCGTGCTGCTTCTGTAACGGAGATGATGAAGTTTCTGATAGAAATCATCTTTCACCGAATCAATGATACAGTTTGTACGGGCGTAAGCCATAATGAAAAACAGGTACCGTTTGTTCCCGCGCGACTTCGGAGCCTGGAACGAACCAGCTAATCTAACGGCGCGCATCCCGCTGTTAACTGGGATCCAATCGATCAGGGCAGCTTCAGCCAGGGGACTCAAAACAATGCCGACGCCAGATTGACCGGCATTTGATGCTGCATCATCGCCAACCAGGCGCAATTAGATGTGTCACCAGGGTTAACGGCACAGAAAAAGGAACTGAACCGCTCAACACCGTCATTTCACGCCTCAGGCTCCGATGGCTGGGCCATGTGTTGCGTATGCCAGCCCACCGACTTCCACGACGTACGTTGTTTACTCACCGGGGATGTGGATGTAAGAAGAAGAGGTGTGACCAAGCGATGACTTGGTCCAGAGGAATGAAAGCCCTCACTTCGAAGCTGGCCTCGGTTGTAGCGTCACGTCTCCCTGATTGGGGTCCAGAAACATTGAACACGTTTGGCTGGATACACTTGCTGACAGGGCTAGGAGCCGACCTCATTGGCGTTCCTGTTGTGAGTTTCTTTGTCCCTCCCCATCCCTTTTAGCCTCCCCCTCCACCTATGATCTCATTTCGTAACGTATAACATAATTTTTCTCTTTTTCTATTAGCCGGCTCGTAGCTTACTGGAACGATGCCTATCCGTTGTTAGTAGCTCAGCTGACATGTAACTGTTGTATTTATTTTCCTTTATGTATTGCGGCAGTTGCTGAGGTGTTTCCGATCTCTAGCTGACGTGTATAATGATGAATGATTATGACCAGTGTCGCATGTGGGAGATCGCAGGTTAAGCACAGAGCTCGAATCTTGTAGGCGGGTTTCTGATAAACAACAAATATCGGTCGATCGAGTCTCTAGTGTGCGGGCAAGTGCTACCTATCGGACGATCTGTAGCAAAATGCGCACGTTGAGGCATTCCAGTCTTAGCCAGGCGCGGGGACTCCAAAGCGGAAACGGATGAACTGACGTTGCCCGCTTGGTTGAACATGGACTTGTCGACGGGATTGGAGCGACACCTGACAACTGTGTGAGTTGTAGCGGGAAGACAAGCGACCATTGAATCAAGGTGGGAGAGGGCCAAGAATTTGGGGATTGAAACTGGGGGGATAAAAGTAAAGTTGGAGCGGTATCATAAGGATGAATAAGCGCC